CAGCGAGAGGAATCTAGGCGACTGGCTTCTCTGCCCGGGTCTTTGTTTGCTCCGCCCGCCCGTACCGAGCACACGGACGCCAAAAACGTGAGGCGCCGCTCAGCTTGACCTTTTAAATTAGCATTTCCATTCCAATCCTGGAATCCCGTGCAGCTTTCCACAGTGCAGTAAACTGGCAGCTGATTCCTCCTGCTAGTTTTGAAACTACCCAATGAGAAGTTTCATGCTAAATTGCAAGTCAAGAGAGGATTCATTACCAAAATCCATATGGCAGAACTATTAAAACAAGCAAACAACAATAAAAAACTGCAATTTCCCCGGTAGAACTTTTTGTCGTCTCTTGTACAGAGAAAGGGCCAACGGTTGGGAAACACACTGTGCAATTGATTCCTGTTGTGAAATATTCCATGTTTCACAGTTAACAGTAACAGAACCTTCAGTAAAAATACCTCAGTGCTTTTCAAAAAAAATTCATTTTGTGTGGATGGTTATTTTGTTCTCATGCATGTGTATCATGTGTACCTGTTGGTTCCCTGGAACTGGAGTTATGGGTGGTTGTGAGCCATTATGTGAGTGCTGGAAATTGAACCTAGATCCTAGGGAAGAAAAACAAAGCTCTTAACCACTGAGCACTGAGCCATCTTTCCTATCCCATCCCAATGTTATATTTTATTTTTAATTTTTTTCTTACTTAACGATTTCAAAGGGCAAGTTTAAAAACCCCAGAGGTAGCCAGGCGTTGGTGGCACACGCCTTTAATCCCAGCACTCGGGAGGCAGAGGCACGAAGATCTCTGTGAGTTCAAGGCCAGCCTGGTATCCAGAGCAAGTGCCAGGATAGGTTCCAAAGCTACACAGAGTAACCCTATCTCGAAACAAACAAACAAACAAACAAACAAAAAACCACAGTGGCAGCAACAACACACCAATGTAGAGTGATTCTGGTCGTTTCCATTGACTGTGTCTTCTGTTTATATTTGGCCAAGCATTAAATACTGCCCATTAGTGCTTCCCAGATCTGCCCCTAACAGCGTCAACTGTGTAGAACCATTTTCTAGGAGTGAAGCACAGCTATTTTTAAGTTTCAAGGGCGATTTAAGCTTGCTTCAGCTTTGAGACACTGTTTGAGTTTATGGTGTTGTACTATTTTAACTTTAAAATCAACAGAAGCTGTTATTGAAAATGAGCTTTAAAATACCACTCAGCTTTACAGTCTACACAGAGGGCATATGGCACAAGGCAAACTGTAGGAGGTATTCAGAGAATCCACAAATGGTCAAGAAATCAGGGAGGGGTGGAGGAGTGGGAGGTGTTGCCAATGAATATATATCTTAAAGATTAGTCCTGTCAAAATGCAAAAGCTACAGTATCAAGGAATAAAATATAGGGTGGTATCTTTGAGTATTTCAGATACAACAGTGAAATTAAAACCACCCAATTTTTTCAATTGATAACTTGAAATTCCTCGAGGTGAAACACTCCTGCTTAGTAAAACGGAGTATTAAACCATGCAGTGGTGGTGCATGCCTTTAATCCCAGCACTCAGGAGGCAGAGGCAGGCAGATCTCTGGGTTCGAGGCCAGCCTGGTCTACAAGAGCTAGTTCCAGGACAGCTAGGGCTATACAGAGAAACCCTGTCTCAAAAAAAGGAAAGAAACAGAAGAAAGTATTAATAAACTCATATAAAACTACAGACTGGGAAAATAATTTTAGTACATATTCCTAAAAGGATATATTCAGAATATCTAAAGAAGTGTAACTCAATAATTTGACAAAGCAATTTTTTTATAATTTATTTTTATATGCATTGGTGTTTTGTCTGCATGTGTAGTTGTGTGATGGTTTCAGATCTTGGAGTTAAAGACAGTTGTTAGCTGTCATGTGGGTGCTGGGAATTGATCCCTGATCTCTTAAAGTGCAGCCAGTGCTCTTAACTGCTGAACCATCTCTCCAGCCCCCAATTTTTTAAATGGCAAAATTGCTACCAGACATAACAAAGGAAAACACAGGAATGGTCAATAAACACAGGAAAGCTCAATAACACATTGAGAATGGGGATAGGCAAATTAAAAGCACTTTGAGATGTCATTGCACATCTACATTGATTGGTTAAAGTTGAACAGATTTCACAAATTTTAAATGCTAAAAAGCAATGTTTACCTCTGTCTCCTTAATGTTTTTCAGCTAGATCTGAGAATTAAATTTTCATAAGACAAATAAGCTGATTAAAAGCACATTTTACATGCCATAGTTATCTGTATAAGGCAATAAAGACCCAAACAATAAGGATCTAAGAGTTCAACAATTATACATTGAATTAGACAAACAAGCAAAAACAACAACAAAAAAATCACATGGTGAGATTGGCAGTTGGAAATAATTTTAGTAAGGCCTGTATAATTCTCTCGGGTTCAACTCCCCTTTCATGGTAATAAGAGGGTGGCTTTGCTTCTAGCAAAGGCAGTGCATCCATAGCAACTTCATCTCCTACCTTTCAGAAACAGATCAGTCATCTTTTTTGCACCTATTTTTTTTAATTTTAAAAATTTATTTAGAAATTGTTTTTTTCATTTTACATACCAACCACAGTTCCCCCTCCTTCCCCTCCCACCCTCTCCCATGGGGAGTCAACAAAGTCTGGCATATCTAGCTGAGGCAGGACCAAGCCCCTGTTAGACCCCTGGAAAACTCAGGCCTCCGGGGTCTTAGCCCAGGACCGTGGTCACCCCAGGCGGATTCGAAAGCTTGCTGCAAACTACATGAGGCTTTATTGTTGTTTAATGAGCTAACCTCATGTTAGCTCGGGTCTTTCACCCACCCGCCATGGCGGATGGTTAGCAAAGACAGATCCAAAGACAGCTCGAACCGGTTGCAGAGAGATCTTGTAGGGCAGCATAAGGGGAGGGTCTAGGGGTACGCACAGGCTCAGGATTGGTGTGCCTCCAGGCTTGGAGGGCTTGCCCTATGTTAATTGGCCAATCGGTTGTTATGGCCCATAGGCCCTCCCAGGGTGCTTGCTATGCTCTGCGCGTCGTCATTGCTGTGCATTTGTCCGTAAAGCACACCCAAAGCCGTAAAGCATACTACCACCAGCTAACTTCTGATTGGTTCCTTGCCACGAGGCAGGCACCTAACCTTTAGTGACTAAGGCAAGGTCAGAAAAGCACGTGTTACTGTCACGGCTGCCGAAATGGGGAGCTGGTCCCTTCACCCCTACCCCCTATTTCAAGGTTGAACAAGGTATCCATCTCATCATAGGGAATGGGCTCCAAAAAGTCAGTTCATGAGCAAGGGATAGATCCTCGTCCCACTGCCAGTGGCCCCACAGACTTCCCAAGCCACAGAAAAGTTTCATAAGTGTCTTCAACTCAAAATAATGGATATGTTTTGCAAGCATTTTCGCTTGCAAGCATTTTCAAGTAAAAATGCTGTGGTGGCACACACCTTTTAATCCCAGTAATCCCAGGGTTACTAGGGAGGCATAGGTACGAGGATCTCTGAGTTCTAGGACAGGCTCCAAAACTACAGAGAAACTGTCTCAAAAAATCAAAACAAACCAAAAAAAAAAAAAAAAAAAAAAAAAAAAAAAAAAAAGAAAAAAAAGAATGATCACCCATTTGTAGTAGGAATACAAATGATGAAACCATGGTGTCTGCTCAATTCTGTTTTAATTTTATATGGATGTTTTGCCTGCATCTGTACCATAAGTGTACAGTGCCTATGAATTTGAGAAGGGGTCATGGGATCCCCTGGAACTAAGCTAGACAGTTGTTAGCTGCCATGCAGGTGGCAGGGAATAGAACACAGTCCTTAGAAGAGCAGCCTCGTTCTCTAGAAGAGAACCCAATTCTTCTAGATGAGGCGTCTTTCCTTGGCTCCTTAGGAACCCTTTCTCATCACTTCTCATCTGTCCTTTCCGTCTTCCCTGTTCTCTGATTTTTTGCTGCTGTGCTGTCGATGTTATTGCCACTGTGTCATCATCTTCTTTTCGATTACCAGCTCAATTCATTCTACTAATGTTTAAAAGTAGCAAGGAAGTGCCATTCAAGAGAAGCCTTTTACTGGGCTTTTAAGTTTCAACACAGAGGCAGCAATCAATCACAACAGTGCAGGAGGAACTGTGCCTTAGTTGCATGAATTTTCTTTCTTCTAGCTCTGTGTGTAAACAAGCTATTCAGCTTTACTTCATGGGCCAGCCAAGAGACTCTTGGAATACTGGGAACTGCATGGGCTTTGGAAACCTTAAAGACCACCCCCAGTGACAAAGATCCTCCAAAGTCACTCTTCTTAATCCTTCCCTAATAGTTCCACCAACTGTTGACCAAGCATTCAAATAGGTCACAGGGCTCATTCAAACCCCCAGGGTCATTTCTTTCTAGTAGGTCAACTTCAAAGGATTTCACCTCCCCTCCACACCACACACTTCAACCACACACTTCAACACAGGTTCTTTGAGAGAACTGCCACTTAAAGATCCAATCATAATAGTATCCCAGAATCTTTTTCAGAGTTCCAGTCTTCTCTGGAGGTGAGACCTCACACTGAGACCTGTAGCCACTGAACCTGAAAACGTAAATGCAATGAGAATAACAGATCAAGGCCCAGAGATAAAATCAACTACCAAAGGGAAGACCTGGTTTTCACAATGGATAGCAGAGCTAAAGAACAATCAAAATAGCATAACTGCTTAAACCCACAAGTTCTTACCCTAAATAAGCCCTAAGAATTAATTAATTAATTCTCCTCTCTCTCTCTCTCTCTCTCTCTCTCTCTCTCTCTCATCTTTGGGCTTGCTCTCTTT